ACGTCTTTCCTTTTCCCGTCTGGAAAAAATGCTGTTTAACAATGGCTGGTCAGGGTGCGGTAGACGTGGCGCACAGATCTCAACGCCACATGACCCTGTGGGGGCCAGGACAGGAAGAAGAGGAGGAGGTTAGAGGTGAGGACATTGGTGCTCAGGGAATTATTGAGTGAAATGGTGGTTTTTCCACTCAGCGGACAGGAGTGGAGGAGCAGGGAGCATCTGGGGTTAGTTTTATCGTGTTGTTTTATTGTAGTAGGAAGGGAGGAGGTGGAGACAGTGGTCCCAAGATGCACCGTTGGCATGTATGATGTGGAGATGGAGGAAGGGAGTCCATCGCATTCCTTGGCACAAATGGCCCATTAGCATGCTCGGTTTTGCTTGCCGTAGCCGGACAGCCGAATCATATAACCATCAGACATGAGGGATGACTTTTGGGCCGGTCCACCGTTGTTGGACCCTCGCTACCGTTCAAAAAAAAATGGTGGCTTTTTTGCACACCTGCTGAGAGGGTAGGCCAAAGTTATCGTACTATTAAAAAACCACCTTTGTAGTCAGTTGGTCTCTGCCTTGCTGCGCCAACGTCCATTCCTCAGACACCTGTGGGCCCTGTGCGCTCGCGTTCCGCTGCCATGGCAGCAGGGGAGGGGGTGGGGTGGTAGGGAGCAGTGGCTGCTCACCAGCATGCGGCTGCCTCAGTCCATGCAGTCGATTGATGAGTAGCTTTCTTCACCAGGCGCAGTGAGGAAACTACTAACCAGCCCGCAGCAGCAGAGCAGCATCAGGTGGACCTGGAGCAGGACCTCAAACAACAGGCTTGGGCCTACTTGGACAGCATGTCCACCCAAAGTGTGGAGAGACTCACGTTTGTGAAAATGAATCAGAGCGTGGATTAGTCTGGATTTCAAACCACCAGTTCCTGACACAACTGACTAAATCCGCCATGAATCATGCCCCCAAACATGTGCCACTTTCAGGTCAGGAACTCACACTGCTGGTGTGTTCCTTTTTTGTCATAGGGTGCTGGCAGATTACGGGCCTCCCATTGCTGCTGCCAGGCCCCGTAATCTGCCATGGGCCCCTGTACCGCCTCCTCATGCTGCTGCCAGGTCCAGAGTCTCTCATGGGTCCCTGTACGGCCTCCCATTGCTGCTGTCTCCATCGCCACACTCTGCCATGTGCCACTTTCAGGTCTCCTCACACTGCTGGTGTGTTCCATTTTGTCATAGGGTGCTGGCAGATTACGGGCCTCCCATTGCTGCTGCCAGGCCCGTAATCTGCCATGGGCCCCCGTACCGCCTCCTCATGCTGCTGCCAGGTCCAGAGTGTCTCATGGGTCCCTGTACGGCCTCCCATTGCTGCTGTCTCCATCGCCACACTCTGCCATGTGCCACTTTTCAGGTCTCCTCACACTGCTGGTGTGTTCCATTTTTTGTCATAGGGTGCTGGCAGATTACGGGCCTCCCATTGCTGCTGCCAGGCCCGTAATCTGCCATGGGCCCCTGTACCGCCTCCTCATGCTGCTGCCAGGTCCAGAGTCTCTCATGGGTCCCTGTACGGCCTCCCATTGCTGCTGTCTCCATCGCCACACTCTGCCATGTGCCACTTTCAGGTCTCCTCACACTGCTGGTGTGTTCCATTTTGTCATAGGGTGCTGGCAGATTACGGGCCTCCCATTGCTGCTGCCAGGCCCGTAATCTGCCATGGGCCCCTGTACCGCCTCCTCATGCTGCTGCCAGGTCCAGAGTCTCTCATGGGTCCCTGTACGGCCTCCCATTGCTGCTGTCTCCATCGCCACACTCTGCCATGTGCCACTTTCAGGTCTCCTCACACTGCTGGTGTGTTCCATTTTGTCATAGGGTGCTGGCAGATTACGGGCCTCCCATTGCTGCTGCCAGGCCCGTAATCTGCCATGGGCCCCCGTACCGCCTCCTCATGCTGCTGCCAGGTCCAGAGTCTCTCATGGGTCCCTGTACGGCCTCCCATTGCTGCTGTCTCCATCGCCACACTCTGCCATGTGCCACTTTCAGGTCTCCTCACACTGCTGGTGTGTTCCATTTTGTCATAGGGTGCTGGCAGATTACGGGCCTCCCATTGCTGCTGCCAGGCCCGTAATCTGCCATGGGCCCCTGTACCGCCTCCTCATGCTGCTGCCAGGTCCAGAGTCTCTCATGGGTCCCTGTACGGCCTCCCATTGCTGCTGTCTCCATCGCCACACTCTGCCATGTGCCACTTTCAGGTCTCCTCACACTGCTGGTGTGTTCCATTTTGTCATAGGGTGCTGGCAGATTACGGGCCTCCCATTGCTGCTGCCAGGCCCGTAATCTGCCATGGGCCCCCGTACCGCCTCCTCATGCTGCTGCCAGGTCCAGAGTGTCTCATGGGTCCCTGTACGGCCTCCCATTGCTGCTGTCTCCATCGCCACACTCTGCCATGTGCCACTTTCAGGTCTCCTCACACTGCTGGTGTGTTCCATTTTGTCATAGGGTGCTGGCAGATTACGGGCCTCCCATTGCTGCTGCCAGGCCCGTAATCTGCCATGGGCCCCCGTACCGCCTCCTCATGCTGCTGCCAGGTCCAGAGTCTCTCATGGGTCCCTGTACGGCCTCCCATTGCTGCTGTCTCCATCGCCACACTCTGCCATGTGCCACTTTCAGGTCTCCTCACACTGCTGGTGTGTTCCATTTTGTCATAGGGTGCTGGCAGATTACGGGCCTCCCATTGCTGCTGCCAGGCCCGTAATCTGCCATGGGCCCCGTACCGCCTCCTCATGCTGCTGCCAGGTCCAGAGTCTCTCATGGGTCCCTGTACGGCCTCCCATTGCTGCTGTCTCCATCGCCACACTCTGCCATGTGCCACTTTCAGGTCTCCTCACACTGCTGGTGTGTTCCATTTTGTCATAGGGTGCTGGCAGATTACGGGCCTCCCATTGCTGCTGCCAGGCCCGTAATCTGCCATGGGCCCCCGTACCGCCTCCTCATGCTGCTGCCAGGTCCAGAGTCTCTCATGGGTCCCTGTACGGCCTCCCATTGCTGCTGTCTCCATCGCCACACTCTGCCATGTGCCACTTTCAGGTCTCCTCACACTGCTGGTGTGTTCCATTTTGTCATAGGGCTGGCAGATTACGGGCCTCCCATTGCTGCTGCCAGGCCCGTAATCTGCCATGGGCCCCGTACCGCCTCCTCATGCTGCTGCCAGGTCCAGAGTGTCTCTCATGGGTCCCTGTACGGCCTCCCATTGCTGCTGTCTCCATCGCCACACTCTGCCATGTGCCACTTTCAGGTCTCCTCACACTGCTGGTGTGTTCCATTTTGTCATAGGGTGCTGGCAGATTACGGGCCTCCCATTGCTGCTGCCAGGCCCGTAATCTGCCATGGGCCCCCGTACCGCCTCCTCATGCTGCTGCCAGGTCCAGAGTGTCTCATGGGTCCCTGTACGGCCTCCCATTGCTGCTGTCTCCATCGCCACACTCTGCCATGTGCCACTTTCAGGTCTCCTCACACTGCTGGTGTGTTCCATTTTGTCATAGGGTGCTGGCAGATTACGGGCCTCCCATTGCTGCTGCCAGGCCCGTAATCTGCCATGGGCCCCCGTACCGCCTCCTCATGCTGCTGCCAGGTCCAGGTCCAGAGTCTCTCATGGGTCCCTGTACGGCCTCCCATTGCTGCTGTCTCCATCGCCACACTCTGCCATGTGCCACTTTCAGGTCTCCTCACACTGCTGGTGTGTTCCATTTTGTCATAGGGTGCTGGCAGATTACGGGCCTCCCATTGCTGCTGCCAGGCCCGTAATCTGCCATGGGCCCCTGTACCGCCTCCTCATGCTGCTGCCAGGTCCAGAGTCTCTCATGGGTCCCTGTACGGCCTCCCATTGCTGCTGTCTCCATCGCCACACTCTGCCATGTGCCACTTTCAGGTCTCCTCACACTGCTGGTGTGTTCCATTTTGTCATAGGGTGCTGGCAGATTACGGGCCTCCCATTGCTGCTGCCAGGCCCGTAATCTGCCATGGGCCCCCGTACCGACTCCTCATGCTGTGACGTTGCAACAAGGTGGAATTCAACCCTACATATGTTAACCGCCTTTACGAACAGCGAAAGGCCATCACCGATTTCCTGATGTTACAAGCGGATAAAGGTACTCCCCTGTGTAACTTCGATGTCAGCCATTGGCAGCTCATGCGTGACACCTGCCGCTTGCTCAGGCCCTTTGAGGAGGCCACGCTATTCGTGAGTCGGCAGGACTATGGGATGAACGACGTCATTCCTCTGTTGCACGTCCTGGAACAAATGCTGTTAACAATGGCTGGTCAGGGTGCGGTAGACGTGGCGCACAGATCTCAACGCCACATGACCCCTGTGGGGGCAGGACAGGAAGAAGAGGAGGAGGTAGAGGAGGACATTGGTGCTCAGGAATTATTGAGTGAAATGGGTGGTTTTTCCACTCAGCGGACAGGAGTGGAGGAGCAGGAGCATCTGGTAGAGGAGGAGGAGGAGGAGACAGAGGACCCAGACGCACCGTGGCAGTATGCTGTGGAGATGGAGGCAGGGAGTCCCTCGCATTCCTTGGCACAAATGGCCCATAGCATGCTCGGTTGCTTGCGTAGCGACAGCCGAATAATAACCATCAGACAGAGGGATGACTTTTGGCTGTCCACCTTGTTGGACCCTCGTACCGTTCAAAAATGGTGGCCTTTTTCACACCTGCTGAGAGGGAGCCCAAAATAACGTACTATAAAAACCACCTATGTAGTCAGTTGGTCTCTGCCTTTCTGCGCCAACGTCCATCCTCAGACACTGTGGGCCCTGTGCACTCGCGTTCCGCTGCCATGGCAGCAGGGGAGGGGTGGGGTGGTAGGAGCAGTGGCAGCTCCACCAGCAGCAGCTGCCTCAGTCTGCAGTCGATGATGAGTAGCTTTCTTCACCAGCGCAGTGAGGAAACTACTAACCAGCCGCAGCAGCAGCAGCAGCATCAGGTGGACCTGGAGCAGGACCTCAAACAACAGGCTCGGGCCTACTTGGACAGCACCCTGCCAACCGAGGTAGACAATCCCCTTGACTACTGGGCAACGAAACTTGACCTTTGGCCCCAACTAGCTGAATTTGCCCTTGAAAGGCTGTCATGCCCGGCCAGTAGCGTGGCATCGGAGCGCGTGTTTAGTGCGGCAGGAGGTATTGTAACTCCGCGGAGGACACGACTGTCCACCCAAAGTGTGGAGAGACTCACGTTTGTGAAAATGAATCAGGCGTGGATTAGTCTGGATTTCAAACCACCAGTTCCTGACACAACTGACTAAATCCGCCATGAATCATGCCCCAAACATGTTATTATTTTTAACATAGGCCTCTGTATGGCCTTCAATTTAAGCTGCTTACGCTTCGCCACTCTGCCATGGGCCCCTGTACCGCCTCCTCTTGCTGCTGCCAGGTCCAGAGTGTGTCATGGGTCCCTGTACGGCCTCCCATTGCTGCTGACTTCATCGCCACACTCTGCCATGTGCCACTTTCAGGTCTCCTTACACTGTTGGTGGGTTCCATTTTGTCATAGGGTGCTGGCAGATTACGGGCCTCCCATTGCTGCTGCCAGGCCCGTAATCTGTCATGGGCCCCTGTACCGCCTCCTCATGCTGCTGCCAGGCCCGTAATCTGTCATGGGTCCCTGTACGGCCTCCCATTGCTGCTGTCTCCATCGCCACACTCTGCCATGTGCCACTTTCAGGTCTCCTCACACTGCTGGTGGGTTCCATTTTGTCATAGGGTGCTGTATGGCCTCCCATTGCTGCTGCCTCCACCGCCACACTGTGGCTCCACACTCTGGTTTTGGCCCCGTGACTGCCCAAATGAGTGAAGTGTGCGGTGATTCTAAGATCGACGGCACTCATCTGCATGTCATACTGACTGACAGTATTATTTCTCTTCCCCAGCAGACTCCAAGGGCATTTAAATTAAAGGTACAGTGTTCTGCACTAATATAAAGGCTCTCTGAAGCCTAGAAACACCTTTTTATAAGTTAAATTCGCAGCGAATATATTCGCATCGAATCAAATTTATTCCTCGAATTCGCCAAATCAGCCGAATCGAATTTTTGAATACTTCGCTCATCTCTAGTTCTAACATGTCAGGGAAGTACAAACACCCCTCAAATGACCCTTTTATGAAAAGTAGACTCCCCAAGGATTTTTCTGAGAGGCATGTTGAGCCCATGGAAGAGTTTAGTTTTTGTCACAAGTTTTAAAAAAATGACAATGAAAATGTTTCCTTTTTTACACAAAGTTGTCATTTAGATTATATATTTCTGACACAAGCCATGTGTATATGTGGAATTACACCCCAAAATAAATTCTGCTACTTCTACCAAGTATGGGGATACCACATGTGTGAGACTTTTTGGGAGCCTAGCCACATACAGGAGCCTGAAAGCCAATGACCACTTTGAAAGCCTAAAGGTGTGTAACTTCCTCATTTCACTTCCTCACTAACTATCACAGTTTCAGAGACCCTGAAATGCAAGGATAGCACCCCCCCCCCAAATGACCCCTTTTTGGAAAGTAGACACGCCAAGGAATTTAAAAAGAGGCATGGTGAGTATTATGCAGATCTAATTTTTTCTCACAAGGTTTTGAAATATAAAAAAAGAAAAGAAAAAATAGTTTACTTGAAATTATAGTGTTTACAAATGGCCTTATAGATACTGGATTTTTTTTTATACTAGTAATAGCATCGAGCAGCGACTTATGGGGGCAATCAGTGACTTATGGCGGCGATCGGCGACTTATAGTGGGACTGCTGGACTGCGGAAAGACATTCTGACACTGGGGGGAACTGACTTGGGGTCACTGACATCCCCAGTGACACCAATATAGTGATCAGTGCAAAAAAAGAGCACTGACACTGTACTAATGGCACTGGGGAGGAAGGGGTTAACAATGAGAGGTGACCAAAAGGTTAAGTGTGTGATGGGAGTATTTTACTAGGGGGCAGGAGGTGTGTGCTTCACTGTAAGCTCACTGATCCAGAAGGCTGAGCTCATCCATCTGGATCAGTGTGCTCAAACTGACAGGGAGGAAAGCTGCATTGTAAACAATGCAGCCGTCCTCCCTGTCAGTGTTTTCTGGCAATCACCGGGCTCCGGCGGATAATCACCGGCCGGGACCCGGCAATTGCCTCTCGGGGCCGAGATCAGTGGCATTGGTAGGGTGGTCGCGCACCTTGTGCGCACCCCCTACCCCGAAATGCAGGATCAAGTTTATATATACGTTATCCTGCACACAGGGGCCACCTTGTAGCAGTATATGCACTGCTGGTGGTCCCCCAGTAGTTAATTTTTATTTGTATCACTGTTATTGTTATGACAGGGCAGTCACAGGTACTATCTTCTGAGAAATCAGGGGTCTATTAGAATCTAGATCTCCCCTCTGCCCTTAAAGCATCTGATCATACCAAGATCAGTGTGATCAGATGCTTTCCCAATTTAAAAATGGCGCTGTTCAAAGGCGAAGTGATAAAATGCTCATTGCTTCCGGTTTCATAGACCATAGAGATAATTGGAGCTTTTCCAGTTTCTGATCAGCTCTATGGTCAGCAGGCAGAACTGCCGGCTGCATTCGCAGGTTCCCTAGTGGGACAGGAGAGCCCAAGAAAGCCTTGGAAGGTGGCGGGGGTGGGGGGGACATCCCCTCCCACTGCTTGTAAAAGCAATCCAGTGGCTAATTTGAAAACCAACCACTGGTTGGAGCACAGCTGCAGGCATCATCCTGGTATAAACACTCAAAGTCCAATGACGTACCAATACGTCTCTGGTCCTTGTTAGGTATATATGTAAAGTTCTTTTTTTCATGCAGCCTGTGGTCTGAATGAAGAAAAAAGAAAATTACAGATTCTTCCATTCAAATTGATCAATGCGGATGAAGATTTGCTTTGAGAATAAGCAGATCAGTGCTGCAGCTGAATGGCAATCCTGCAAAGGGCTCTACGGGCCAGGGTTCAAATTCTTGATGGCTGTGGGATGGTACCAGTGGTAGCCACCGCACCAGCTTAGACTGCACTTATGGAACTCGCCACATCACTAGTAATACTGCAGTGCTGGTATGAAAAATGCCAGGATGTACTAGGCCACTGGTGCTCATCAGTTCACCAAAAGGTAGTGCAACACTAGTACTTGGACCCTGCTGCATATGAGACAAGTCATGCATTCCTAGGGGTCAGGTACACCTGATCTTAGCAGCAGGGACCTCTTCTCTATCATCCGAGCTACCTGTTGGGGTGCTGCTGCTCTCTACAGGTTTGTATGTTGAAGTGGATTCTGTCAGAGAGGCTTCTTCTTCGCTCTCATCTGACATACTCAGAATCCTGTAGGCCCATTTACTAGAGTGCTTTTCTTTGGACATTTTGGCCACTAAATTTACGGGTACTTAGTGTGACTCATGAGAAAAAGAGCTCTTGGCTGTCAAGGACTGCTTGAACTGCTAGAAATAAAATTTACCTGCTAGTGCTAGCAGAGATCAGGTCTGATTCTGCTAACACTGCTGTTTTGTGTGCAATGTATCACAGGTGACTGGGGGGCCAAGGGGCTAAGCGCGAGTGCTGGCAGCGAACGGGGCTTATTCTGCTAACACTGTGTTTTGGGGACACTATACAGTACCTAGGGGGGGCACTAGTATAGTTCTGTTTGTGATTGATATATTGATCCCTACAAACACTATACTAGTAATGGCGGTGATCAGCGCCCTATAGCATGAATGTGATAGTGTGTGGGCAATCTAACGCTAGCTGAACCTGGCTGAAAGAGGCGCTAATTGAGCCTGACACTATTTGATGTCACTAGTGGCAGTAGTACAGTGATCAGTGAAAATTATATATACTGACACTGTACTAATGTCACTGGCTGGGTGATGAGTGATCAATAGTGTTGGGCTTGATGAACATAAGTTCAACTCAAACATTGGCTGTTCGCTGAATACACGAACGGCAAGGGCGTTCAGCAGGCTGTTTGCCCATTGAGTGCCTCACAATGTACTTCGCTGTCACAGTGAAGAGCCATGATTGGCCAAAGCAATGCACCTGACTACAGGTGAGGTGCAATGTTTTGGCCAATCACAGCACAATTCACTGTGAGAGGTCAAGGTGACTTTGGCCAATCATGGCTCACGGCTCACCAATCAAGTCCACACCCCACACTGATGTCGGTGGTAATATCACAACTAGCCATGCCTATTTGTGGATAAGTCGGCGGGCGTTGTTTTTTTTTCTTATTTCGGAAAGTCGTGACAACAGTGGACTCTATGATTGACGATGGATTACAACTATGGAACCATTTTTTGGCTTTTTTTTTTTTATTATGATTATTATTATTATTATTATTATTATTAAAGGACTTGCCAAAAACTGTTGTTTTGTTTTTTGTTCAATTAAAGGAATGCACCAGCAATGCTATGCACTGTCATGAATGGGTTAAGTTCATGACAGTTCAGAATACTAGAGATCTGTGATTGGCTACAGCTAATTACTTGGTACAGGGTGCTCTGATTGGCCCAGGTACCATGTGAGTTAGTGGATTGAGGGTTAGGGACCAATGTAAATGTCATATATATTATATATATATATATATAGAGTGTATATATACACACACACGGAAAGGGCTGCATAAATTGACAGCACTATATAAAGTACCTGAAATAAATAAAATAATAAATTCTGCATGCATCAGGCTGCACTGCTGGAAAGAGAGGAAAGTTCAGCTGATTAGACTCAAAGTTGCCCAAAGTACACAGGGACAACAGCCATTTAGTTCATGGCCATCCAGAGCACTATATCCTCACTCTGGCAACTCCCTCAGCAAGCCTCAGTAGCAGTCCCATCCAAGGCTGTGTAATGTGAACATATCGCTCTCAGCGAGTACCAGCATTTATGCCCACTCCTCTCATACACTGCAGAGTATTTCATATAGTATCATGCTTATTTATGTTGTAGGCTGACATAGACTATTTGCACTTAGTTACATAGTTGGTAAGGTTGGTTAAAGACACCAGTCCATCCAGTTCAACGTGTGTGTGTGTGTTTCATGTCAAAAACATTGCCCGTATCCCTGTATATTGTGTTCGTCAAGATACCTGCCCAAGAGTTTTTTAAAAACTATCAATGTTTCCTGCTGACACCACCAATTGTGGAAGTGAGTTGCACATCCTTACCGCCCTGATAGTGAAAAACCCCTTATGCAGTTTAAGGTTAAAACGTTTTTTTTTCCAATCTCATTGAGTGGCCCCATGTCTTACACTCCCTGAGACTGAATAGTTTATTCCCTATAGTAGAATCACCAATAAGATACTTTGTTTGTAATCATTCCTCATAACTGATGTCCTCCAGTCCCCTATTAACTTAGTTGCTTTTCTCTTGACTCTCTTCAATCCCTGCACCTCCCTCCTGAGGAATGGTGACCAGAACTGGACAGCATACTCCAGATGCGTCAAACCAGAATTTTGTAAAGTGGTAGGATTATAGTTTTATCTCTTGAGTAAACTCCCTTTTTAAAGCACACTAATATTTTGTTAGGTTTGCTTGCTGCAGCTTGGCATTGCATGCCATTGCTGAGACTGTAATCTACTAGGACTCCCAGATCTTTTTCCGTCCTGAAGAAAACTCCTCCAGAGGTTTTCCCCCTATCAAGTAATTTGTGTTCATATTTTTAGCCTCCAAGTGCATTACTTTACATTTTCAACATTAAACTTCATTTGCTATGTATTTTCCACCTTAATATTTTATTATATTGCAAAGCGCTGAGCAAACTATTGGCGCTATATAAATCCTGTATAATAATAATTAAGGTATTTTTTGTAAAGTTTCTATATTGTGTTGTGAAATTATTGCCCTACTTAGCTTTGTATTGTCAGCAAATACTTAGATTGAGCTCTTCAATACCAACCTCTATATCGTTTATGAAAAGTTAAACAGAATTGGTCCCAGAACAGAGCCTTGTGGT